TCCACTGTTATATTTTTCTGTGCGTAGTTGACTAATGATCGTTGACTCTACCCGCAGAAGTTTCGTGTTAAAATGATTGTTCATAATGAGTGTTTTATAATTCCAGGAGGTCGGGATTAATATTATGATTTATTTCGTGATGATTATAGACGCGCATCAGTTGAATACATACCTTTTCGGGCGTTCATTTGTATGACAGCTGTAAAATTAAATATTTTTTCGGCGAGATGAGTTTGTTAAAATATGTATGTCAAGGATTTAATTTTTTCTTGTTAGATATCGGTCATTAATAACGGAAATTCAGAGACTATACCGCAAAACTTTGCATGAGTTAGCCTTGAAAGGAATGATTGGCGACCGTAAAAAAGGAAAATATTTATTAACTAAATAAAAAAAACAAATAAGAATTATAAACATATTTGTAAATATCGTATTGTAATTTGTAGAAATTTAGCACAATTTGCTTCAAAAATAAATTTAAAAAATATTTAGGTAACTTTACAACGTTTATAATTGTCCAATAAAGCGTATTGAAAAAAAATTGTAAATTTTACAGATTATTTAACTCTTGCTTTCATTTATAATATAAATAAATTATTTACTTGAATGGGTTTGAAACCTATTTAAACTTACAAGATAAGCCAATACTTAGAAACAACTGAGTCATAAAATTTCTAGCGATTTCCATAATAACTTGCAAAATAATTGCTTATAAATATTAATACAATGAATAATAAATCAAACGATCGTAAACATTCAGTTGAAATTATTTCATCATAATATAATTACAAATGGAACTAAGAACAACTAGGTAATGTGCATGTTTATGTCGTCTTTACAAATATAGTTAAAATAAATAAATAGTTTGCGACCTATAATGTTAACGCAAGCTTCTATATAATATAATAATGATGTAACTGCAATTACAAGCACGATGTCTTTCGACGGAAAGGCCAAACGAAAACCTATCGGCTCTGATTTATGCGAAAATATCGATGAACGTGCCGCAATAACTCATATCTTGTAAATATCAAAAGCTGTTCGTTTATTATTTAATCTTAATCACATAAAGTTCGCTGTAGGTATATTGAAATTAAATGACTTACTTGATCGAGACAGCATTTCAACAAGACTCCTGAATATAAATTTTACTTTCTCATAACTCCAATGGTCATACATCACAAGTAATATATTGATTGATTTGATTTGACTGACACAAGGGATTTGAAATTATATATCTAATTGAAATACTGGCTAATTAAAATACTATTTTTTAAAATATATATATTATTAGTATAATAAAATAAAAAATATTATTACCTTTTAGTTATTATTAACAGATTAGTTCATTCTTTTGTTTTCATTTTCTACGGTACTAGTAGATTTAATAGACAATAGGATATTTATATTACTCTATTCTCGATTAAATTCGAGAAAAGTTGTCTACTCTTGTGCGTGTTTTCGGTAGGAGCGACATTGCTATTAAAAAGAATAAATTATTATATACATAAACACAAGTTTATATCTTATATGTGCAAAATAATCAATTTGTGTATAATAACAAATTTGCGTCATATTTATCCATCGGCCATGAAAATGTTAGGTTGATTTTATATTGCAACAAAAAAAATATACAGCCCATACATAATTAATATTACACCCAACTAATCAAGCACTCTTGAATTCTATTAAAATCTCCACAGATATTCATCGCTTCTGCTAATCGTACATATCAAAGTTTTTAAAACTATCGATATGATGTGATGGTAATAATATCGGAAAATATTTTAAATTTCAGTGGAGTGGAAGCCCTTTTAGTATAAAACTATGTACATTTGCTATAGTAGGTACCTATATAAATATTACTATATTGTATATTAGAGGAGACTAAGTACGGTTGTGCCAAGTTACGGTAGTGAAAGTCGCCATAATAGCCATACTGATTTTGACATACGGGCCAAAGGGAAAAGATGTAGTAAGTATGTTTGTTTAAACATGTTCCCATTATTGCATTCAGTTTGCGCCCTACATAAACATAAATAATTGACTAAAGGTTATTAATAATAATATAAAATATTTTATATATTTTTATATAAATAAAAAAAAGTAATTATCATGAATAACAAACATTAAGTTTTAGCTAATGTAACTTCTGCGATCCATAACGCGGTCCACAGATAGAATGTGCATGATTTTCAGCAATGTTGAATATGATTTATGTTCATTAATGACACGGTGCGAATATGCACCGCGCATCTGCTTCGTAGCACATATATACCCACGATACAGCATTGAACAAATGCCATTGTTATTTGCAATTCGAATAATTAAACACATAATGCGCACAGTTTAATCAACAACGTTTCTTATTAAACAATTTTAATTTTAAAATCATTTCTTGGTCTTTCCTATCGTCTCGCATACAAGTGCAGCTGTATAAGACAAATTGTGGTCGTATGGGTGCGCGGGACGCTGAGGCATAGGTATCTTCCGTAAATTAAGGGGCGTCTAGATTAATTTTAAATCGGTGACTTATCTAAAATATTGGAAATCAAGAAAGTATTATTCTATTAAAACTTCAGTAGTAAATTTTTCAATGGGGTTTGAGCTTATTAATTAATTTTAACTTACTGGCAGATATTAGATAACTTTGCGCTATTTTTATAATCTGCCCGCTTTATTTTGATTTGTTTACTTTTCTTAAGTGATGAAGAATAATATTTCAGATTATTCCAAATATGTAGTATGTAGTACATAGCAGTATGTAGTATAAATTACGTAGTAAATACGTAGTAATATGAGGTATATAATGCGAGATACATGGCAGGTTGTAGTATATAGTACTTGGTACATAGTAGCATGTAGTATAGAGTATGTGGTACATAGTAGTATGTCATAGTACGTAGTACATAGAATGTATGAGGTATTTAGCACGTAGTAATATGTAGTACGCAGTTTCTTTTGCAGTTAACCATAGGTGTGATTTATCTTTTTCTTTTACATATTAAATTTTGTTAATATACGTTAAATATTCGTAGGTACTATTATAAAATTATTGAATTATATATCGCTATTATTAAACATGCATTTTGAATAATATAAGTAACAATGATTGAACTTCATTATGAACTTATTTAATTACAAAATTTAAGCAAATCACATATTAAATTATTTTTAATAAATTAGGTTCAATAAGGTATAATAGATCTGAATAATTATACATCATAAAATTATACATCATTCGATAAAAATAGTTCCGTTTTAACAGACTGTGTTTTAACTTCCTATCGTTTTGAAGAAACTTTTCTGGAGATAAGTTGTTCAGTGTCTCCTTAAGAAAACGTTGGCGCGCGATATGTATATGCACGCGCACACAGACTCTGCTTGCTACACCGCGTGCATGCATATGAACACCGAAAGGCTTGATATTCTGCTGCCTCTCTCATAATACTCGCGCGTATTCAATCAGTACCGTAGTATCGCAGACGGTCGCGTACACCTATCTCGCGCTCATCTTATGAAAATCTTCGAGAACAATTAAAAACCAAAAAAAAAATCAACAACTGACTCTACTAAATCCGTGCATCCGAACCTGTGTACGTTTTCTTCGCGTAGACGCTCTCTTTTGTGACAACCGCATTTCGTTTTATTTTGTAACAACAATAGTATCGCTATATCGCTCGGTATATATGAAAGATTTTCCCCCACTCTTTGGTGTATTTTCCTAACTTAACCGATTGCACCTCCCGTCGCCTCCCCCTTTAAGGAAACGGTACGCGTTGATTTTTATTTAATTCGACTTTTACTGCATACAAAGTGTGTGAATGGTTTTATTGTTATTGACTGTGAAATGTTTAGTGAGTTGCCTTTTATTACCAACGCTTTGTTGCGTAATGTTTGATCGACGCAGCAAATAAAAGTAAAAAACTTTATACCAACCGGTGTGACACAGTGTTATTTCTGTCAATTATATCTTCGAATGGCGCAATATATCTCAATTTGCCAAGTGTGACAGAAATTTAATGATTTCTAGTTATGTGTGTTTACGTCTACATGCTGGAAATGACGCTTGGAAACGTTCAAAACCGTGGTATGTCATAAATCAAAACATGTAGGTTAGAACAATGCCTGTTGCAATAAATAATGATACACAACATTAAGATATGTTTTCATTGTTGAATGAAATTGACATTAACCTGAAAACTAAGTCGAACTAGATTTATAATAATTATTTATATTTAGCAGATTTAACGTATAGACTTTATACAAAAAGATTCATTCAATCTGCGACTAAAAAGAATTTATTCAAGTACTGTGATTTGTAACAGGTAATTGTTATTTACAGAACAAGAACATTAAATAAGCGATCAGAAAGAAAAAAAGTCGGCTCAACTAAAGAGATTACACCGTTCACATATAACTCTTATATGACTTACCAAGAATGCTAATATCATCGTGCGTAATACACATTACATGCACGGTGTCCTTTTTACAACCGGTCAGTTGTTTTAAATAAACAATAAAAACACTTTAACGCCGATACGGTTTGCGATTTTCTTCGAATCCGAGCGGAGCTTTCATTTCCGTCGCAGCGCGAGTTTTATCGTGGGAACGCAGTAGACGCAAATCTGCAACCGCTCCCGTGGTGCGGGCGAGCGCCACCCTCGAGATCTGCTGTTGTGTTGGAAAATTTATAAACAATTCATGCTCACAATAGCGCCAATCCCTGACATGCTTTTAATTTAATGAAAGGCCTAACACCATTCGAGACTGCATCATAAAACTACGACAGGAGTATTAGTAGTCGCCACAGAGCTTTTCATATTTGCATCAGCAAAATCACTTCAAATTGTAATATTTTTCAATTAACTAAGTTTTCACTTTCCTATTAACTCGTTAAATGTTACCTTTTTCGTCTGTGGCATGTCAATTAATCAGACGAGATAAAAGTTCGCTTACTTGGAAGCTTTCGCGTACTACTACTCACGAATCGCACACACTGAACTGAACGCGCGAATTATGTATTCGGAGTTAGAATTGTGCCATTGGACAGCATCGTGCTCATCAGAGTGATAAGTACGTGTGAATAGAGTGTGCAAAGCTCCTCCGGGTTGTGGGGGTTTTTGTTCCTGACATGCGGACTGCATTGCTGGCTGTATGCCTCTTCCTGGTCACGCTAATGACTAATACTTGGTGGTGAGTAAGATGAATTAGTTAGTTTCTTAACAACAAGTTTTTATAAAACAAATATATCGAATGTAAATAAACAAATAAATAACGAAAATTTTGATGTAAATAAATAGGATAATATTTCATATGATCAGTTTCCTAAATTCTGGAAAAACAGCTATTTTGCTTTTTTAATGTTTTTTTTGAATTTTGAATATTAAAATAATATGCTAATAATTATTTTAGCATATTATCATTTGTTTGTTGGTGAGATTTGTTGACTCTGAATTTGATGTTGACATATATATTAACAAAGTCTAGTAATCGGGCATAAAATCAATAAAAAACATGAATTTCTTTCAATACTTTATTTTACATCTATACATTATATTTGTCAAATGGATCAAGATTGAAAGTGAATAAAATAAATTTTCGTATTAAAATAAATAGTTCTGGCGTTGTGCTCTGTGCTTTTCACACACTTTATTTATTTTTTAATATTTGTTAATCGTAATCTTATTATTGATTTAATAGTTTATTTGAATTTTTATTTTATTTATCAAACTTTCCATTTGAATGCTAAAGGTTTTTTTAAATTTGCCAAGTCGGTGCAATTGTCGCATCATCATTTCGTTTCAAACTATATGTTAACTATAAGAGAATATCATAAACATAAATTAATTGCCATAGGTGGCATAAGAAGTGGGATTAAAAAAATTTAATTTCCGTGGAATCTCGATCCATTAGTTGACAATAAAAAGATCTAACCGATGACTTGAATGCATCCGCGCACGATATCTTACAATGTATATAAAAAGAAGTGATGGAGCTGAAAAAAACGACAAAACTAGTTCAATATGCGTTTGTTGTATCCGGCCATGAAACTGCTCGGCGACAGTTAATTAAACATCTATATTGATAATAAAATGATAATTGATCACACAGATTCCCAATTGTAATACCTCATGCTAATCTAACTAGTTCAGCATGCATAAACAAAAAATGCGAAAAAGAGTATGCTATGCAAAAGAGGTTATTATATTATCCGAATTATTATCTAGTAGCACATCTAGTATTTTCTACTATTTTATTTGTGGGCTTTTCCATATTTCTTTATTATCCTTGCATTGTATTTGTTCGATAATATATAGTTAAAATGTAACCATGTATACTAAAATTTTTGAATAATGGTAAATGAATGTCATCGATTCAAACGCATGCTCCTTCAGTTTTTTTCTAAAATAAAAGTTAATACAATCTTAATCGGTTATTAAATTTTGTAAAATCATTATTTGGAACCAAAATTCACAAGTAAAAAATTTTGTGAGTTGTAATAAATTTTATAATTGTACTACAAGCACATACATAAACAACATTAATAACAGTACATAATGTTGTTGTCAGAAGTAATTTTATAAATGTAATGTAATTTTATAAATGTAACATTTATTGCACCCTTAATATCGGCTAAAGGAAGAAATTACTTAATTTTAATGTTCACAACGTTTAAAGTGAGTCATGATATCAATAAATTATATCAGAAGATTAAGAATGTAATGAGAATATTTTGCATGTATTTATATATATATATATATATATATATATATATATATATATATAATGCATATTACCACGATCGACAAGAGATAATAATAAAAATCTTAACCAGAGGCTAAAAATGTCCATTGACGTTTGTGTTCATTGGGAAATTGAACGCCATTTAATTAGCTCCTTTATTATTGTGATTAAACAGAGATTACATATACTAAAGCGTCTAAATAATTACAAGAAGACCTCCATCGACGGCTTAATGTGTATTTGTGCGCTGATTAAAAACAATTTAAAAACATATTGATGTAAGAGCTTCATACTTTATAATTATACGGGATTATATAAAACATCAAGCCAATCCTTACACATAAATTAATATATATATATATATATATATATATATAAATATATATATATATATATATTTATTTATTTATTTATTTTTCAAGATTCAATTACAATCTGTTTTATAACGTACAAAAAACATTTAGTAATTATGAGTGAAAATGTGTCATGTTATGACCAAAATAAAGTTTACCCATTGGCATCTCTTTTTGTATGACATTATATATAATTTTCATTCATTTATAGATATACGATATAGATATAAATTACAAATAAACTTGTAAAGCGCGTCAATTTTTTATACACCCAACAGTAATATATTGGGCTGTTGAAATGTATCATACTCTTAAAAAATTCTATAGATCAATTATTGTTAGTATTGAAAAAAATCAGTTATTTTATTCACACTTTATTGTTGAGATTTATTATAATTAAAGGGATAACCATTTCAAGTTTGAAGTGGCAATTATTAGTTTAATTCTTTATTATGCATCTTTCTATAATCAGCAGTTAAATAGAAAGCAACAAAATATTATATCGTATAATTATTAACAATTGAAACAACGTGTCAGAATCGATTCCTGGTTTTTTCACAACAATTTTATATGTAATTCCAAGTTTTTAAGGATACAATTGAGAAACCAAGTACATACATGGTATGAGCAATAAAAGTGATTACATTGATAAAGCAATTAGGTATAATGTGATAATGAACAGAAAAGTATCACTTTAATAGTCATCCTCAGCATAGACCACGGCGCGGCCACTTAGCGCCAGCCATCGCGCAATTATAAACTAGATCATATAAAGAAAGTTCACATGCATACACATGTGTAGATGCACCAATTTTTCACAGTTCCAATAAAAACTACCGACCTGTGTTTATAAACTATAATAATACTACAAAATTTTTACCTTGTATTTGTATATTAGAAACAATTATCAGCCCCACATGAAAAACAAATATTTTGTCTTTGTATAATTATCTTGAAACATAATATTACAATGAAATCTAAATACAGCACTACAAAGATCATCTTCCAAATAAACATAGGGTAGAGTGGAGCTAAAGGTCCGCGGATAAAAAGGTCCACCGACAATTTCTCAAATCCAAGTTAATAATTTTTGCCAACATTATGTGAAAGTAGAGGGAAAGAGATGTGTAACCAGCTATTGCCTTGATTTTTACGACGTTGCTATTGTAAAACAATCAGTAATGTTTTTGGTTATGAGATTTGTTGTTTAGTTTAAGAAAATTTAATATATTTTTTAAATATACGTTATTTGTTTTATAAGATGTACTGCAAATTTTAAAATTAAAAAATAGTACATAAACAACAGTATATTTTACAAGAAATAAATTAAATAAGTAGATATTAAACAATTTTGGTGATGAATATTTTTAGGAAATGCCAAATCAACGCACAGAGCGTTAAACAATCTTACCTCTGTAAACAATATACCCATGAAATTTATATTTTGCATTTGTTGAATAGCTATTATTTTGTAAAATACCTTAAAAATTAGAAATAAGACATTGGACCTGTTTGCTCCCTGGCCGTCCCAATTTAACCTGTCTCTGGGGCAAAAAGGACTAGGTGACAAAGTTCTGAAAAACAGCAAACAAGACATTTCTGCAATTATCTGGGTATTTCACTGAACATTATTAGATAGTTCTTTGCTTGATATGTGTTAATTGTTGTTATATAATAGGTTTGGTTTTCACAATATAATCGCTTAAAATTAAATGGACCTTTGTGCACCGCTCTAACCTATGTAAAATATTACATATAGAAAAACTTACGAGTTTATGTAGATATGCATGTTTATACATGAATATGTATATTCATGTGAAAATTTATCTCAACGAGAAACGTAAAAGTATTTTATAATCACAACGGAACTTTTTAACGTGCAATGAAAGCACTCATAAATACAATGAAATGTGTGTACATTATATAGTTGATGCATTAACCCATACAACACGATGCTGGACGCATTCTTTCCTTCGTATTATGTGGGTACTGACAGCATTACGCTCTAAATTTCGTCTGTGGACATTACCAAATATGTTATAAACAAATGAATAAATAAACCAATTTACCGTAACTAACAAATAAATATTTACTTCAATTAACACCCCGCGTCCGTACATCTTAAACGCAAACAGATCAATTTTGGAATTGTTTGAAGTTAAGTTTTATTGAAACAGCAACGAACGCATGTGTATCACGACGATATGTAGAACGGTGGTAACTTTCTGTTTTAAAAGAATAATTGTATCTAATTATTACTGCAATTTACTGAAATATATGTCAGCTCATTACATATTGTTATGGGCGAATAAACAAAATATTTATATTATGAAATATCATATTTTAAAACTGATTGTTTTGGCGAACGTTTCCTGTATTTTTTTCTACACATACACATACTAACAAATTTTACTAATATACAAATTATCAAAAACATCACTTATTAGCTATATATTGAGTTATGTTAGGCAGAAAAAGTAATTTATCACTTAAGAACAAAGTCCTCATCTACAAATCATCCCCATCTGGACATATGACATAAAACTCTGGGGCTGTGCCAGTAAATCCAACACCAACATTATCCAGATTAAATTCATGATTTAATTCATGAACAAATATTATCAAGACGCTTAGCCTACAACAACAAACTGCGAATCCACATAAAACCAACCATCAAAATGTTGCCCAGACCCACAAGACGCCTGAAAAAGAAATAGCCTGTTGATCTACCGCTGCAATAAACAAATTTATGTCGATATATTTTTGCAGTATGCATTTTATTTAATCCATTGCAGAATAATCGTAATACACTTCTTACTAACTAGTTCAAAGAGCGCGAGTTCCTGCGCTTATTTATTTTCCGAAATGCATTTATGATTATAGAATTTATTATAATTTGATATATATACAAGACCAATATAATAACGGACGAAGACGTTAATCATTCAATACGATAAACGGATCATTAGAAAGTTGCTACACAAAATAGTTCGTGACTCGAGATTTATGAAAAGATGCATTGTGGTGCTACTCCTCGACATTGTTGTCCTAAATAAAAAAAATTTGTTAACAGAATACTTATCACATCACGACGAA